GAAACACGGTAAAAATCCTAACATCACATGGCAGGATTTTTGTGTTATTCCCAGTTGTGCCCCTATGTCAGTGCAGGTTGGCATCTTTCCATTGGGTTCAGCAATAAATAAATAAATAAATGAATAAACGGGTCAATAAAGTTTTGAGATTTTACTTATTGCAACTGTTTATCTTATAAAGAGCAATATTAAAAACCTGATGAGCTTATACTTGACAACTTTGAATAAATCACCCAAAAAGTTAACTTTTTCCCAAACCAAACACCTTATAATTTAATATTATCATTCATACTTCACCTCTCAAATTTTGAACTCCACTAATTTTATCACATCACTCGGGACCCAGATATAAACTTTAATTTAAACGTATGTCCAGTCTCCCACACAATTTCTTTCCCTCCTTCGATGCAAGTACGATTTCGGAGTTATTTCGTAGATTGAGATATATAAATCATAGATAAAGATAAATATTTTATTTTATTTATATTTAATAGGATGGATAATAAAATTTGATAAAATTTTAAATAAAATAATTATTTAGTTAGATACAGATAAATTATAAGATAAATTTAGATAATTTTATATAGTCTTTATTTATCTAATTTTTTTAGATAATATTATTTCTATAATTTATATAGGACAAATTACTAAAACGTATGCATGTTTCCCATCCATCAAGGCCCCTGTTAGTTAGCTGTCATTTGCCAATCATCATCACCCGCTATTCATCGTCAACTGGCCGCAATTACAAAAAATGAAAAGAAAATTTTAGTAATTTATGTATTTATCTAATATTTTATTAAACTTATTTAAAATTTATCAAATGAAATATAGTGATTTAAAGGGTAAACAACGTCCTCTCCCTCCGAATTTGCTTAAATGACACTTAATCTCATTTCTATTATTAAAAAATATTTTTTCTCTTTAATTAACTATTGACTAACGGTAAAAAAGAGATGAACATAAATCTAATTTTACCTACTTGAACTACTTATCGGATTAAAAAATAAAATATTATTTATTTTACTTAAAAAATTTAAAATTTAAAATTTTAATTTGTTAATTAAAATTTAAAAAAATAAAAAATACGTTTTGATTACATAATTTTACTATTTTTAAATTTTTATTTTATGATATTTGAATTTTATCTAACTTGTTTTAAGTTTAAACGACAGTCAGTCTTTTTTTAAACTTAAATTACACTAAACTATTTTTATTTCAACATTTAAAATTAAAATAAAAATTTTTTTAATAATTAAAAAATAATAGAATTAAATTATCAAAAGGTTAGATTTTTTAAAAAATAAAAATTAAGAAATTTTAAAAAATAGATGAATCAAATAATATTATAATTTTTAATTAGATGAGTAATCAAAATGTACAAAATTGTATTATTTTCACATTTTTTAAATAAAATCATTAAACAATCATTATTCAATAGTTAGTTAAAAGAGAAAAGTATTTTTTTTATATTGAGAATATAGTTAAGTGTTATTTAAGTAACTTGAAGGGAAGGAAATAATTTTTATCCTAATTTTAAATACTATATAAATAAAATATTTTATCTAAATATTATCAATTTTATCTTATTTGATCTAATTTACCAAACACACCCTTCTTGTAACCTTGTCCCAGGGCATTACCATAATCAAATAATGACAATAATAAATTATAAACTAAAAGATAGAAAGAAAAGAGAAGAGAAGGATGAAAAGACAGGTACTTTTTATCTAACTCCTACCAATTGAATTTAGGACTTGAATTCAACCCCTCCCTTATTTTGTTTATTCTTTTACTCTCAATTTTCTTGCTTTGATCGGTAAAGTCAACGTGGGGGGAGGCCATATCTGTATGTATTAAAGTCTTTTTCTTCAGCTGAAATATTCATAGACATTTTCATGTGATTAAAGATTTTGTTTTTCATTTCTTCAATGTAGAGCGACAGTTGCAACGGTTTGTTTCGACAAACGATTGGCTGACCGGCCAAATAATAAATTATTATATAAATAAGAAACTGCTTGACTTCTTTATCATAAACAGTTGTTTATCATAATGCTGTCAACCCTTTGACTTTCTAAAACTAAAATAAATACATGCTCGTCTTGAACACCAAGCCTCTTGTACGAGGACACGTGGTGATGTTACAGAGCAACACCTAACAACTCAACCATAACCATTTAGCTGCCCAGTCAGCATCAGTTCGAATGTCCATGTACTTGTATACATTTACATACATATATAATGACAGCTTCTGAATTTTTATTAATGGGATGATATGCATGAACATTTGCTTTAGAGCAAAAGCTTTGTTCATTTGTACACATTCTATTTTGCTATATATATATATATTTTACTAAAAGTATTTTACATAAAACTTGAAACCTTTTAACTTCAAGGAAGATAAATACTCAAATGAGTAGGGGATATAATAAGGATTTTATAAATGGCGACAATCACAAAGATCCCTTTATTACTCTATGTGCCATTAATAGTGAAGTTAGATTAAAACTTTTGAAAGAGCAAATGCAAAATTTGTAGATATTTTTATTTATTTTAGGGTCACACAAATATCAATTCAGTAAAAAAAGAAATTTTTTTTTTTCTTGAGAGAGTCATAACTCCCCTCGCACCAACAAAGCTTTGTCACCGCGTGCGCTGTATAGTAATATTTTTATTTTATTTTTTATTTCTGTAATTGGCAACCTTTATATGGATTAATAATGATTTTTTTATGAATTAAATACTTAATTCAAATAATAACATACTTATGAAATTTATATAGAGGTTAGAGATTCAGCACTTTTTTTTTCCTTCCCCTTCCGTCTAAATATATGCCTTTAGGAGTGTTTGGTTGGTATGATATCACGCGTTCGATTGGTTTGTAATAAATCCGGATATGGATATGTATCAACCGAATACAGATAAGGTATCTCACAGTTTAGGGGGGATAAATTTTATCCCTCTTGATAAATTTTATCCCACAGACGATAATGCCCTTGCCAACTGAAACTAGAGGGAGTCGAGACGGAGGAGGTCGACGTCTAGAAAGAGGAGTTGGAAAGAGGTCCGATCCAGCCATGGTTTGAAAAATCGAACTGGACCAGCCGGTTGGACCGGTTATATTACCGGTCCGTTTTTGCTAAAAGCTAGTATATGCTAGAAAATCGGTCTATTTTTTAAGAACCGTTTGAACCGGCAATTGAACCATTCAAACCGGTGAACCGGTCACGGTTCAACACAAACCGGCCGGTTCAATTATTTTTGATAGATAAAATCATTAAAGTAATGCATGGGGAAGGAATTGAACTTGGGTCAATTGGATAGAATACTAACTATTTTACCACTAGACCACTACTACTTTAATGTAATCTTATTATTGGTTAAAATATATATTGACAATTTATTTTAAATTAACTTATTCTAATTTTATCATATAATGAATAATTCATATATTTCATAAAATTTAAAATTTAAAAGTGTAATATAAAATATAAAATTAAAATTATTTATATTAAATTTAATTCAATAATTAATATTTCATAAAAAAATAAAGAAGATGTAAATTTGAGTCCTTATACTACATTTCAAAGAATGGATATAACTAATTTAATTATTTTTAATTTTGTATGTTATTTTTATTTTTATAATTATTTGATATTATTCTTTTTTGGGTCAATTTGAAACTGCGTGAAAGAAATTATGACATATGAACTATTTTTTTCTTTTAGAATAGTTATAAAAATAAACAATTATAATTTGAATTCTTCATATTTATTTTGAATGATAGATTAATGGTTTGTTACTTTTATTTTGCATGCACTATAATAATTGAATCTTGAATATTAATTAATATTATTATAAATAATTAATAATATTGACCTTTAAATTTTTTTTTTGTATTTATATAAATATAATATAAATATTATATAATTATGACGTTAAGGTTCAATAACGGTTCAATTAATGGTTGCACCAATGAACCGTGAACCGGCAACTTTTCTAGTTCGATGAATGGTCCAGTTTTTCGAACCTTGGATCCAGCTGGAAGGAGGTCCGATCCATCTTTTTTTTTTATATATATATCTGAGGGCTTTTTGGTAAATTTTTAGTTTTATCCTACTTTTCAAAAATTTTATCTCATTTATTATCTATTAAATTAAACATGTGATAAAATTTATCCCTATAATAAATTTATCTAATTATATCTTATCACCCAATATCCTATCCCTCTATCCCAATGCCCCTTAATGTATCAATAAATTAAAATTGAACAAATCTTGTTGTTTACAAGGATACAATTTTATTTTTACTTTATGTAAAATTATTAATTCAATTCAAATACGTGAGGTAACATTATTTAACGTAAATTTAATTTTGAATTTCTAATGTGTGAATTTGTAAAACATAGATTTAACCATGCATATGCAAGGATACCAGTAATAAGATTCTTGCTTTAAAATGAAGGATTGTTAAAACCCCCGAGACATGGAAAATCCACATTCGGTGATATTGTTGAATATCTTATTTATCTCCCTCAAGCTTCCCATCACCTCCAACATAATTGAGGATACATATATAGTTAATTTAACTTGCAAATTAAATAGTCAACGGCGATGCTGTAGAGTTCGACAACAGTTCTAAGGTTGACTTTTACATGTATATATATGTGGAGACGCCAAGTGGTTTATTCGCAGTGTTAGACACACGTACCACACATCTATATATATATATATATATAGAGAGAGAGAGAGAGAGAGAGAGAGAGAGAGAGAGAATGAAGTACAATCAGGTGAGATTGAACAGTGAAGCCACCATGCCCGTCATAGGTTTTGGGACTTATTCTTCTCAGAATGAACGAGAAGAAACAAAACAGGCCGTACTAACTGCTCTCAAGGCACCTATACCTATTTTCTTTACTTTTGAAATCATTTTGGAAGTAGGATTTTGTTTGTTTTTGCATGGGAAAATGGGTTTAATGCGTTGGTTTTACATGTTTGCAGCTTGGATACAGGCATTTTGATACAGCAAAGATTTATGGTTCAGAACCTGCTCTAGGAGACGCAATAACAGATGCAATTCTTGATGGAGTGACTGGCAGAGGAGACGTCTTCCTCACATCCAAACTCTGGAGTAGCGATCATCATGATCCTGTCTCTGCCATCAGACAAACTTTAAAGTAAGCACATAATTAACCAACACATCTCTCCCTCCCTCTCACTCTCTCACTCTCTCTCTCTCTCTCTCTCTAAATCTTCTTCTAGACTACCGTAAAACAAAAGGGTAAGATAAATATTAATCATACACACATGCCTTTCGTAAATCCACGAGATATCACGAGATTGCACATTATCTACGTCTGCACAGCTCTCAATCTGTTATACACACACAACACACACAAAAGTGGATACCTATGATGGTGGTGATGATGAGGATGATGGTGATGATGAGAAGATATTCTTGTACATCACAAAATATTAACATGGCCTACGATGACGCTGCTTAAAATCAGGGTATACCAAAAGATATGCAGATTCCGGGGTTTACACACACACACACACACGAGCTGAAGATTAACTCTGTTTAGTGGGACATATACTACACCATTTGATTGGGGTGTGTGTGTGTAATTTATGCTAATGATGAGTGAGACAGATCCTCTCCAATTATGCCAGCTCTTTCTCGTAAACTTTGAAGTAGAAGAAACCCGGTTAAGAAAAAATTGTATTAAAAATTTTTGAATTTATTAACTGATGGACTTATGGTAGATCATTTAACTAATTATTCTTTTTAGGAAATTGAGGATGGAATACGTGGACTTGTACTTGGTGCACTGGCCGGTGAAGTTGAAGACGTGGGTGGATTATCCAGTTCCAAGGGAAGAAGACTTTGAAAGACTGGAGCTAGAGGCCACATGGTCAGGCATGGAGAGGTGCTTAGACTTGGGATTGTGCAGGTCTATTGGCGTCAGCAACTTCTCCAGCAAGAAGGTCCATCGCCTCCTTGACTATGCCTCTGTCACTCCTGCTGTCAATCAAGTAAGCCCTCCCTTTATGCTTTCTTTCTTCTATCTCCAAAAAAATTGTGGGACTTTCATTTGATTCTAAATGGATCAATTTAAAGGCAGAGAAGTGGATGACGTTTAATTTCCGTTCGAAATAATTGTAATCTAAAATTTAGAATACTCCCTGGCTATGACAAATTAGAGAGGATTACTTTCACTTTCTTTATATCCTTTTTTTAAAATTTAACCTTTTTAAATAAAACATTTAAATTTATTATTTTTTTAAAAAAGAGATGGATAAAATAAGATATTTTCTATATATATATATATATATATATCTTAAAGGTGGCAAATTTTTTTTTTACTATTTGTTAGTTTATAAAAATATCATTTGTTAATTTTGATAATTATCACATATGAATAACGTCGTGTATAATTTTTTGTTACATTAAATTTATATATATTTCACGTGCGCGCGCACACACACACGCGTATATATGTATGTATACTCTCAATTTTTCTTGGTATTCTATGTAATTATGATGTTCGATACTAATTCTTATTATAATTAGAGATAATTCTATTTTTTAAAAAAGTTTTTGCCTTTCTCTTTTTAAAAAATATTTAAATATTTTTCTATTAAATGTTAAAAATAAATTATAAGATAAACCAAAAAAAATTGAAGAATATATTAAACCACATAGAGAGAGAGAGAGAGAGAGCTCTGTTGACATTCAACATGAATAGTCCAGTAGGGGCCTTTCGACTATTTGAGAAGTCACGAACTATTAAAAAGGAATTTAGCAGTAATGGCCACTAAGCCAAACTTGTGATTCAGGTGTGATCTCTACGTCAACTATTAATTTTATCGATATTATAAAATCGACTGGGAACACTTGAGAGCTCAAATTTGTACCATGCACGGTCTAGATCTTCGTCATCTTATATATTGATTCAAATACCTGTACTGTACAGGTGGAGATGCATCCAATGTGGAGACAAACCAAGCTTAGAGAGTTCTGTAGGGACCACAAGATCCACGTTAGCGCATATTCACCCCTTGGTGGGCCAGGCAATCTATGGGGATCAACGGCTGTGATTGATCACCCAATCATCCAGTCCATTGCTCTCAAGCACGGAGCAACCCCAGCTCAAGTAAGCCACACTAGATTTTTGATTTTGGTATTTTTTTACATATCCATGAATGGGGGTGTTCAACAAACCGAACCAAACCGATTAGACCGCATAAACCGAACCAAACCGTATGAAACCAAACCAAACCGTAGAGTATGGTTTGGTTTGAATTTGATGTTTGGACAAACCGTATGAAACCGAACCAAACTGTATAGCGTATATATATACAAAATTAAAAATTTTATCTTATACATATAGTATATTTTTATTGTTTGACTGTATGTTTTTTGTTTTTATTATCTTTTATATTTGTATTCATTTTAATAATTGATTATTTTTATTTTTTAGAGTGTAATTTCTATAAGTAATAGTGAAATGCTGAAAAATGATATAAATATATTTATTATAAAATATATAACTACTATAGTTAATTAATAAATAATGAATTTATTAAGTTAAACATGTTGGGGAAAAAATGGATCACCAATTTTTAGGAAAATTATGTTAAAATTTTTATAAAAATAGTGAATTTAATTCATTTTATTTTGTAAATCACAAACCGTGGTTTGAAACCGAACCAAACCGTAAACCGTGGTTCGGTTTGGTTTATAAAAATTTCAAACCGTAAAGTATGGTTTGGTTTGAATTTGAGCACTAAACCGCACCAAACCGCACCAAACCGAACCGTGAACACCCCTATCCATGAATGGAATTAGAAATACTCCTTTTATCTTTGAGTTATATTATTTCTATAAAAAAATTTTTAAGCATTGAATTAATAGTTATTTGACACCCATTTCACATAATTTTATTTTTGTATTTTTTTATTGTAAAATGAAGAGAATTTGAAATATTTGTGTTTTTAGAATAATTCATATCTTTTTTGAAAAAAATCTTTGGACTTAAAAATTTGATGTGATGCAAAAATAAAAAAACAAAAAAACATATATCAAAAAACGAATAACCCAAATGAATTGAAAGCGTAGAAATAGAGCTAAATCAATGAGATTTCTGAAGTGATAAATGTTGAACAAGTCTAAGAACCAGTCAAAATGGTAATCAAGAATACCCATTTTAGCCTAATTAGAAGGCAATAAGTTTTAATTTGAAATCTATGTAGGTTGCCTTAAGGTGGGGATTATCCAAGGGAGCTAGTGTAATTGTCAAGAGCTTCAACAGGGACAGGATCAAGGAGAACATCGGAGCCCTTAATCTCACATTGGACGAACAGGATTTGATCAACATAGAGAAGATGGAGCAGTGGAAAATCATGAGAGGGGAGTTTCTTGTAAATGATACTACTAGCCCCTATAAGAACATTCAAGGTCTCTGGGATGATGAGATATAATTCAAATTAATTACATATTCTCCATTCCAATGCAATATTCATGCCACATCCGTGGTATTTTTATAGGTAGTCTTGTAAGGCAAAGAGTGCAATGGAGTGCAGTTCTTCAGTCTTTCTAAAGAGGGGAAAAAGAAAAGAGAAAAAAAAAATCACTTACTTAATATCGCCTTTTCTCTTTTCTTTTAATTTCTTCCTTATAAGGTTGCTATGCTACAAAGTATCAAATTAGTAAGAAAAATATTAGAATTAGATATTTATTATGTATTGCCATGTTAGATGTAAAAATAATAACACTATGACTTGTAAGTTCTAAAGATTAATATTAGATATTTATCACAAGAACCATAGGTTAATATTAACTAAGTGAACAATTTTTAGGAATAGTAATAGGTCAGGTCTTAATGTATCCATCCTTCGCCATTTAAGAAATTTGATTTTATACTTGTCCCCATCTCTCCGATTGGTATTAATTCTAATCCTATCTCCATCATTATCACATAATATTATATCCTTCCTCATACCTGTATACCTATTTAAACACAACTATTATTTCTTCAAAAATAATAAGATAAAATAGCACATAATCTACAAAGTAGCAAAAATATTAAAATTACACAATTTTTTAGACCAAATAAAGTAATAATTAAATATCATTTTTAATAAACTAAATTAACAACAAATCTATTTTAAACATTATTTTTTATATGTAAATATATGATATAACATGTTGGATATTATGATTTCCACTCCCATTCCTGTCCTCGTCCCCAGATAAATTTTTGTAAAAATCTTCAAATCCATTTCTATATTCATTTTTACAATATTCACAACTAACTCGAATCAGATAAAATTTGTATGTACAAGTTAGATATATGTATAATTGCCATGCTTCCAAATTATATTGTTTTTGGGCCACTAGTTGAAGACAGTAGTACATCGAATTGATAGAAAGTTTTCTCGCCAGTAGATTGCAATCCTTCAGCAAATATATACGAGTTTGATCAAAATTTGTTTCTTTGGAGTACCAAAGGCAAACATGACACGGTACTGATACGAACATAAAGTCTAAACATATGAAATGCCAGAAAGGGGTTGGCTCAACTTAAAAAAAAAAAAAAAAAAAAACTCCAGCCGGTGATTCGTAAAAGTTGGCTCAGACAAGGGTTTTGTAATAATGCAATTAAATGCATGATTAATCAAGAAAAAAGGAGCTATAGTTGCCAATGTGTGTCAAGAATTCAAATGCTAGAGGTTATATTGATAAATTCCATTTTATTCATATTTTCATAACTATTTTTATTACAATTTCTTATTTATTTCTTATTAGTTTTGGGATAAATGGGCTTGTAATTGAAAACTCATATTTATTATTTTTTAAGATATTTTTCCAAATAAGTGAAAATTTTATGAAGATAATAACATTAAAGAGAGATAATTCTAGTAGTTTAGTATTATTAAATTTTCAAATTATGAGATAATTCCTACATTTGATTAAATACATCTAAGACGAGGACATTATCTGCATCTATCTCTTAAGAGGAGGACGTTTGGCAGTTTTTTTACCCTAAAAAGCCCTTGCCAAGGTAGTAAAGAGGGCGACTGGTTTTGGAGGAAGACGCAGGCAACAATGCAGTGGCTATGGCATGGCGATGACATTGTTGGGCAGATTGTGCGGAAAGCGATTGAAACATTTCTAAATTCTTCACATTTTTTATTTTGTTTTATTTGGGATGTCTTATGTGCTTAAATTGGATTGGTTTGTGATTGGATTTAAGTATGACAGTATTTATTTTCTTCAAAGATTGCGATTGAACTCGACATGTAGTTTGAATTCTTTGATTTTTGTTTCTATCTGATTATGAATAAAGTTTGTTTATTTATTTAATTTTATTTTAATACTTTCAATTTCCTAATTACTAATTAAATTAACTTTAGAATTTAATTGAACTTGGGAAAGGGAGAGTAGATTTTACACAAAAATTAAATAGTCCTTGCTCAATTTATTTATACAGGATAGAGATATACGTATTCACTTTATATAGTCAAATTAGAGAATGTATGTTCTTAATGAATCTAATTTGAATTTATTTTACATAGGAATACAGTAAACTAATTTAGCTTACCTAGATGTGTTTATAATATTTTGGGAGAAGATTATAAATAATTGTAATTCCATGTTGACATGTTAACTTATTCATTAATCAAAGAAAATTAATTAATAATTTTAATGAAGTGTTGAGGGAAATAATAATCTTATGTTTTTTATCTTTAAATTTTTAGAACTATCCATATTTGTTTTGCTTTTTTATATCATTATGATTTGCAATTTTATTTTTACTTATTTGAATAAAATTAAATTATGTTAATTTTAGTAGTAAGCCAGTTAATTAGTAATTAATTCCTGGTTAATTGTCACTATACATGCATCCGTGTGTATGAATTATACATCAAGTTTTTGGCATCATTGCTGCGAAATTATCTCTAATTCTTGCTAACATTGTAATTCCAAGCAAAACAAATCTTAATTCATTTTTTTTTCTTATTTTGAAAGAAATGGTTGTAAATTATTTTTGATGCCCCAGTGACATAATGCATTCAAGATATGCATTAGGAGTTTGCCATGGAAATTCTTATACACAACCTTGTGTGAAATACTTTTTCACTATAAGAAAAAGTTAAATTAGTAATCATATATTAGTGACCCCTTTTGGAGTCACTAATTAATTATCACTTAATGACCCATTAGTGACATAAATGACGTATTTTTATAAAAAAAATGTAGTAATCAAATCTGTGACCCTTAACAAATCAATTACAAATTGGTTAGTAATTAGTAACCATTGTATATTAGTTATTAATGGGATCACTAATTAGTAATCCCATTTTGGTTAGTTACAAAGTAGGTCACCAGTTTTGGACAGTTACAAAAAAGGTCACTTATTAGTAGCCCATTTTTTCGGTTACAAAAGAAGTCATTAATTTGGCCATATCCTTGGACACTACATGTGAAATTCTGAATTTGGCATTTGCAAACCAGTTACAGGCATCAAGTCATATAGTTATAAGCATCGTCTTATCTGGTTACAGACATACCCCAGTTTAATTACAAGTATATCTACGTTTAAAGAAACTTTATACTTCTTAAAATAATTAAATAATAGGAACATTTATAGCAAAAATCTTTGTTTGCTTGCATGGTGCAAGTAATGGTTGTTTTTTTTTTGGGGGGGGGGGGGGACCAAAACATTTCATGACCAATGTAAACAAATCGTAAGACAGAGAGTGTCTAATGTGACTTCTCAATTAGTCGAAAGGCCCTTACACTATTTGTGTTGAATGTCAAATTGAGCTCTCTCTCTCTCTCTATTAATATAATTTTCAATTTCTTTTGTTTTATCTTATACTTAATTTTTAACATTTAATAGAAAAATGTTTTTTAAAATTTTTCAAAGAGAGAGACAAAAACTTCTAAAAAATTAAAATTATTATTAGTTGTACTCTGCACAAGGTACTAAGTAAGATCAGATTGTATTCTATATGAAATATAAAATGTGCATATATAAACATAGATTTAAAAATACATAGAATATATATATATATATACACTTTATATAATAAAAAAATTATACACCATATTATTCAACCATGTGACAATCATTATAACCGATAAATAGCAGAAAAATTTTGTAAATTTTAATATATATTTATAAAATATCTTATTTTATCCACCTGCTTCTTAAAAAAAAAATAAATATCAATAGTTTATATAAAAATGTTAAATTTCTTTAAAAATAAAGGATATATAAAGAAAGTGGAAGTAATCCTCTCGAATTTTCCATAGCATTGAGTATACTAGATTTTAGATTACAATTATTTCAAACGAAAATTAAACATCATCCACTCCTCTGCCTTTAAATGGATCCATTTAGAATCAAACTGAGGAATCAAATTTTAAATTCTAAACAAGTACACATACCCCAGATTTTAATCTTTCGAACTATTTCACTGAATGTCTTGATTTAAAGATACTTTCAATTGAAATAGTTTTCTTTTCTCACAACTTAGACGCAAAGTTCAAGTTTCCTAATATCTCTCTCTCTCTGTTTTTAATGTAAAATGGCAAGGAGCCTTTGTTTTTTGCAGGAATTGAGATTTATATATTTGAGCAGTTATGAGTAGTTATTTCCTCATTTTTAACTACACCTCCTTTTATTTGTACCCATATAGTGTAATGGGTCGAGTTGGGTCAACCAACATGAGTGACCCTCATCCATTTTCTAACATCTCCTGCTCACACATATGAGTTGATCCATATACTAGAGAAATATTTTAATGCACAACACACTCTCAAACTTCATACTTGCAAATAAGTTGTGTGACCAGCGAGCAAATAAGAGTTTAGGTGTAATACATCAGTTAAGGATATATAGCAGCTCATCTATAGAATGAGGATAATATAACTTGTTATATCCTAGATTTCTTTTATACTACACTAGTGACATCTCTTTATCTCTCAAATATTTAAGAGCATATTTGGCTTTATTCAAAATTATGTTGCATTCACAATTATGTTCCTTTAAACATAATTGGTTGGCCTATGAATACAAAGTTAATGCTAGTCAATGACAATCTTCCTTTGAAATTAGTAAGTCTTAATCATCACTTTAACTACTTTCCTAGACTTGCACTGCATTACCGAATCGGTCACACCCCAACCTTTTATAACCTTAAAAGGCATGACAACGGGCCAATAATCAACACACTGCCGGGTAAAATCCGGCCGCATGCCGGCTACTGTAACCCCTCTCTAGTTGGCCTTAAGGGCCCTGTGTCTGAGTACCTGCTTAAATCAACAACTTCACAAAAATACATAACTTGCAAGAATTCATCAAACACATAACTTAAGCATAATTCATCTCATATCACATTTCCAATAATCATTTAACATCATGCTAAGCTCAAAACCACTATATAATACTAAACCACTATAATTATCCATA